AAAAAGTAAATCAGAGACATATTTATAGTAATTATGCAGGCAAATTTGCCTGCAAATCTCTACCAATTAAGGGATAGGTTTGACAAATCATGTGTTAATTTTTGTATTTATAAATCATGACTCAGTTGTTGAGTCAACTTATTATAAAAAATACTATATATGAGTGATGAAAAGGGAAAACCTGTAAATCATCTCACTCAATAAGCAAAATGATTTACAGGTTTTTCCTTTTCGTCACTCATATGAGCATTAGTAGCTAAATAATCTTTCATCTAGCCAACGATAATGAGTGTCCAGGGGACTATAGTGTATAAATCTGCTCACTCCAAAAATGTTTTCTTGTATTGTATTTTATTTTAAAAAATGATTAGATAGGATCCATTATCTATTGAATACTATATTTAATAGTAAATACATCTGGTATGAAATTTATATACATCACTAAGAGATAATAAATTATAATAATATAAATTATAATAATATAAATAATCTACAGGTTACTTTAAATCTATAGATATTCATCGGTTTATAATAACCTTTGAACTATTATATTATCTGTTTAATGTTTACTAGGTTCTTATACACAAACATTCCGCATTTTAGGTCACAAGTTTTGTAAATTATAATAATTAAATGATAATATAAATAATCTACAGGTTACTTTAAATCTATAGATATTCATCGGTTTATAATGACAAATATTTCCTGCATTCCGCATTAGATCACAAGTCTTGTTGAAATTTCTTATTCTCATACACAAATAGCGCCATTTGCTCCCTACATTAGGTCACAAGTTTTGTTGAAATTTCTTGTTTCTTGGTTAGATGGTGCTGTTTTTCTTTGTGAATTGGTTCTCTCATACACAAACATCTCCTGTATTTCACATTAGGTCACAAGTCGTCTTGTTGAAATTTTTGTTTATTCACATACATGCTTTTCTTGTAGATGTTCTTTGAGTTGTTGGTTCTCATACACAAACATCTTTATTCCGCATTAGGTCACAAGTCTTGTTGAAATTTCTTGTTTGTAGAAATGAACATCTCATTTGGCGCAATCTCTATGCATTAGATCACAAATCTTGGTTAGATAATTGACTAATTAAAGTTTTAATAAAGTTCTATTGGTGCTTTCCTCATACGCAAATCTCCTGCATTCCGGATTAGGCCATAAGTCTTGTTGAAATTTCTTGTTATCAGTCTGAACCACTTGTTACTCTTTTAAATATAATTAATGTATTATTATTTGCGATTATGAATATAAATTATAAGATTAATAAATAAACGTGTAAAATACTTTTAAACTGGTTAACCTGGTTTACAGTAATAGATTTGTAAAATAAACTTTTCTTCGTATTTCGGAAATTGACTGAGATTATTTATTTTGTATTATAATTCTGGCAGTACAAAATTCAATTGGTATTTAAACCAAATTTGCTAACGCTAATATTAAGACATCGATTTCAAGAATGAAAACCAGATGATATTCGACAAATCACCTGAAATATATAAAACTTATTTTAATTTTCGTATAATGAAACTACAGTACTACCAAGTATATATATATTAATTGAAATATACATATAACCGAATATTGATTAAAAACAAGTTAGTGACCGGTTTAATACTAATATTGTATTATATAAACGTCTCTTTGGAATAAATTTTAAACAAAACCCGTAATTCGTAAAATAAAGTATAAGCGAAATCTTCACTCTCAATTATTAGCTTTAAAGAAATTAGGGAAGTAGTTTTTTATATGTCATATTTTTATAAATCAATTCAGATATTCACTATGCCAAATAATTAAAATAGCAGAAAAAGATGGATTCACTTGATAAAAACCTGTATTCACGACCGGCGGGCTGTTTACAGTTCAATGAAATAAACAATAAGAATCCATCTTTGACGGTTGTTGACGATTGTATTACGACTGGTGGGCTAATATAATCGTCTCAACTATTAAAATCTCATATGATGAATAAAAAAATATCTGAGAGATTAACTTCAACATCATGACGAGAAAAAATCGTACTCCAAAAGAATTTTTACTAACAATCTTAAACCAACATCTAAAATTCCTAAAAAGAACAAAAGAAAAAATCCCAAATAAATATCATAAAGATATCGAAACGCAGGAAGAAAGAACAAAAAACTATTATGCCCGTGTTACCAAAAAAGAATTCGTTGATTACGATACTTTAAGGAATGAATTTGAAAAAGAAAAGGTTATGTTTAATAGAAAAATCGACAATCTCAAAAGAGATTAAATGGGGTAATTAGAGGAAAGGATAAGGAAATCGAAATGCTTCGGTCTGACAATAACGAAAAGGATAAGGAAATCGAAATGCTTCGGTCTGACAATAACGAAAAGGATATTCTTCGGTCTGACAATAACGAAAAAGATAATCAAATTGAAGAACTCGAAACTAAAATGAAATATTTACACTTCGACAACTTCAACCTAGCCAAACAGGTATATGAGTCAGGTAATCAAGGATATAAGATTAATTTAATTTCCTTTATTGTAAGTACTTATTTTGAATCTTAATTAGCCCTTTGGAAAAGATTAATATCCTTGAGCGAACTTCTACTTGAAGTTTGTTCATATTTATCTCCAAAAGATTTATTTTCACTCATGAAAGTTGAAAAACTTTTATATGAAACATTATAGTCCGATAGTAGTATTTCGCAATTATTTTGGAAATTTTCCCGACAACAACAGCCAAATCAAGATCATGAATGCCCAGTAATATGACTGAACAACAATATTGTTTTTTAAACTTCATAAATATATGTCAAATATGTAACCAACCAAACGGTTCTGCATTAATTCCTGAACTAAAGTTCAAAATTTGTAAACCTTGTCGTATAAGAACGTCAACATTAATAAGGTATTGGATAATTCTAAAACACTTTCAATTCATAATTTAATTTATTTTGTCAAATCATTATTTAATTAATTTTGATTTATATAGCTGTTTAACACTTGAAGAAAGTAAATTTCCGACCGAACTCCTTTCGGCGATGCATTCAGTAGATTACCAACAGCTTCAAGGAAGTTACCTAAATCATTCTGTGCGTGAATTATCAGTTGTGTCTCATTTGGTCTTTTACTTGAAAAAAGAAGTAGAAAGTACCGAAAACGAATATCTCAGAGTGCCCGAAAATGAGAAACAAAAATGGTTGAAGAAGAGAACAACGATTGTTCGAGAATATTACAACAATATTCTAAAAATAAAACATCCAACTATTGAGGATCAATATTTACTTCCTCAGCAACAAACTTCATTGCAACACCAATTGACTCGTCAACCTTCGTTTGTTATTCTCGATGATTTTAATTTTGAATAAATAGATTTTTATTTTGAAATTCCATTATATATATACTTTATAATAAAAGAAAATCTTTAACTAGCTAAGCTTTAATTTTTTTTCTTTTTTGAGTTTTAAAAGTAATACGAAAAATAACTAAAAAGCTCTTATCAATATTTATGATTATACGAAAGCACTTTTCTTTCATCATGTAAGAAATAATGAATGTCGCTAATATAATTTTCGTTTTAAAAATAAATAAATAGTTCGAGCTATATTCTATTTTTATAATCCGGCGATCTGAACTCTAGCTTTATAGTTATATTATCTCAATGGCGAAAGCTTGAGTTTGATGTTATATTTATTTTTAAATTATTAGCTAAATTTCTACTAGACCAAAATCAAGATTTGATTTTCATTTGATTAGTTCAAAAAGTGTGGTTTTTTTCATATTTCCTTACTTTAATTCACTTTTTAAAGGAATAAAATGTGGTTCAAAAAGATTAAATTTGTACTAAAGAACAAGATATTAGAACGGTTGCTAATAGTAATTATAACCTCAAAAGTAAAATGAAATAAATAATAAAGATATTAATTGACAAGATTCGAAATAGCGAGAAGAATGAAGGTAATGGTGACAATCCATAATAGATATATAAGGCTTGTGACCTAAGCAGATGGGGTTAACTGAAATGTTCATTTATGAAAACAAGCAAGAAATTTCAATTTGAGAATATGAACCTATTCATTTACTATTAAAGAAAATATGTACTTTACAAGAAAAGCACCAATAAAACTTCATTAAAAATTTTAATTAGTCAATTGAGAATAAATTTAATAATAATAATAATATTTGCAGATGGCGTTACCCGAGATGTTCGTGTATGAGAACCAGAGCCAGTGGTCGTTAGAAGCAAAACTAGCTAGCAAAATTAGCTAGTAAATTTTGCAAATTTAGCAAAATAGCTTATTACAAAATTTATATTTGTCAATTATAAATTTTAATGTAGTCGTATGTTCTTCGATGAGTTCTTAATCTATCATCATTTACAACATGCATATAATTGCACGTTTATATAAATCAGTTTAAGAACAAAAGGAATAGTCGCATGCTTAGCAAATTTCGCATCTTAGCACAAACAATGTTGCTAGCTATTTTGCTAAAAAATAGCGCTATTTTAGATGCTACTAAAATCCACTGGCTCTGATGAGAATAAACAAGAAATTTTAACAAGACTTGTAACCTAATGCAGGAGAAGTTGTGTATGACAACCTCTACTAAAGGAAAGATATGAACAAGAAATGCACCAATAGAACTTTATTAAAAATTTTAATTGGTCAATTGTCTAACCAAAAAAATACATTTAATAATATTTGTCCAAGATTTGTGACCTATTTTACAGAGTTTTGCAGATGGCGCTAATGTTCATGTTGAGAACAAACAAGAAATTTTAACAAGATTTGTGACCTAATGCGGAATACAGGTGTTTGTGTATGAAAACTTACTACTCAAAGAAAGAGAGATATGTACAAGGAAAGCACAATTATACTTTATTAAAAATTTTAATTAGATTATCATTTGCTATTCAAAGAAAGATATGTACGAGAAAAACAAAATTTTGATTAGATAATAATTTACTATTCAAAGAAAGATATGTACGAGAAAATCATCAATCAAAAATTTTGTCTAACAAGTTTAAATTTGTCCAAGACTTGTGACTAATTTTAAAGTTTACATTACTATTAATTCTAATTACAATAGTTCTCTATCAGTTAAAGTACCTGGTTAAAAACGTGATTTATTCAATTGAATCATGGTCTAATAGAGTTTGAAACCGGTTTATTTTATCTTACCTGAGTCTTATCGGTAGGAGTCTTCTTAATAAGAAGGGTTCTCTTATGTGAGTCTTCTAAATAAGGGGAAGTAGTGAAGTGGAACTTACTGGTTCTCTAGTTAGAGAGCACCCTATATACGAAAAATAAAATCGATGATTTTTTAGAAAAACTGCATTAGGTTATGAGATGTGATATGTTACTGAAAATTAATTATAGTAAAGTTCTATTTATAATCTTTGACAAATACAAAAAAATCTTTATTACTTAGATAAAATAATAAAATGTTATATTATTCTTAATTTGTGCAAAACTTATTTTGTTAAACTTATAAATCATATACAAATTATCTTACTAATCAATCATAAAAAATATCAATGTAATATAAGTTAAATTTTTTGAAAATCCTTAAATAACTCCTTAAACTCATCTATTATTGGTGTAATATCCTTATCAGTCAATATAGACATCGTAAATTTTGCCCGATTAAAAAAATTTTTTCTAAGTTCATTATTCCCTAATTTTCGTGTCGCTGTTAACAAATTTTTAGCAAATTTTACATTATGACTACGCTTTCCTTTTCTTTGATAAAATGAATCAGTTTTGTCCTTCTGACTATCCTTCTTTTTTGAATGCTTGGTATTGGGTCTATTTTTATCTTGTACGGTTTTTTTATATTCTTCGATTATCTTCTGATCAGAATCATTAGGAAAATCTTTTAATAGTTTATCGATAAAGGCAAGTTCAGAATAAATTGGTTCTAAATTGATATATTCTAAATAATTGGATAAGTCTTCTCGATAATTTTTCCATTTTTTAGGGTCTAATGAGTCAGGCACAGTAGGTTTTTTTTCATAATGATTTGCTGGGGATTGAATCTGTTTTTTGTAATCATCGATCCAAGTATCAGAATTTATTAAAGAATGTTCTTTAATAATAGATGATTCGGATTCGATATCATTATCACTCATTATGAAGGATTAATAGAGAGAGAGTTCTTATATTCAAAAGTTGTACGTACATAAATTCCCTACATATATGTGATACCTAAATCTGCATGAAGGCGAATACAACTATATAATTTCAGAAAGATTTTTGAAGATCCTTACTTCAGATCAAAAACTTAACGTTACTTAATAAATATAAATTTAACTTTACATTAATAATAGTTTAATAAATTAAACGCATTTTTTACAAAATTATATCAATATTCGAACTATTCGCAAGAAGATGTGAACAAAACCGAATAAATTGAAATCATTTAATACGGCACAACCCCATCATAATCTGGATAACGAACCCACAACATTTATTCCAGCAAAAAATCACATATTTTTTGATATATTATATAGAAATAATGCCGAGGAAACTAAAAATCCTAACTCTTGAACTTTACTTTTAATTCTAAACGATTTAAACTTGCTAAAAAGAATAAAGGCTTCAAACATACTTGTTTTTAATATTTATATTGGCACTAACCCATCATAATCTGGATATCCAAATCCATTACTTCCGTTGATAACTACGGTAAAAAAATCTTTTAAAATCTTCTATAATTCATATTACCAACATATCCAAAGGTTCAGGTTGGTCGATCTCAAGAGTTCCGTGTACTAGAGTTAATACCTCAATCCGGATATATTTTTTATATCCGGATTAATCCGGTTTTATCATAGTATAAATCCGGATATAAATTTAAATCCGGATTTATTTATATCCGGATATAAAAGCATTATATCACACTATATCACATGACATAGTATATATCCGGATATATAAATCCGGATAGAGGTATTAACTCTACCGTGTACAATTGGCTCGTAAGGCTCAATATACAAATATGAGTGATTCGACATTTTGATCCTATAATAATTGATAATAATTAATTCGAACTTCTATGTATCAATTAAGGTGATTAAAAAATACTAACAGCCAAATCATAAATATGACAAAAGCCTCAATAATCAATACAAAAATTAGAATATAATTGCAAGTGCAAAACTTGGGCAATAAAATTTTTAAAAGAAGTTCATCGAATTTTTTATGAACATTTTGTTTTTTCATTTTCAATATCTTTAATTTTGATATAGACAAAAGTGCTTCTATAAAAATTACATGCTTTATATATTTTAAAACAGATCGCGTACAATTGAGTAACAGATCAGCATTTATATTATAAAATCTATCATTTTATTTTGTAAAATAGGTAATATGAATATCCATGGTGAAGTGGCGAAGATAACATAAATAAATTAATTATCTCTTATTTGAAAAATACATTCACGAAAAATGAAACATTGAACAAAGCCTTTTGAAATAGTATGCTACAACTTTCTTGGAATCCTATTGCATAGTATTTATAGTTTTTCACATATTTGTATGCATTTATATTAGATATATATTCATTATATATTAATTATATATATTATATATTAATTATTAACTTTATTATAGAATAGTCCTGTATACATTCGAAGTTTCAATATAAAATAGGTAATACGAAGAACCATAGCTAAGATAGCATAAATTTAGTCAATTAATATCTCCTTACCTTCTTATTTGAACAAGTTCATTTACGATAAAAAATAATCGAACAAAGCTTTTTGAAATAGCGAACGAAGAATTTGGAACATTAAACTTTGTTTATATTATTAAATTCTTAATAGTAGATAAACTTTGTTTTTGCTACATCTTTCTTGGAATCTTATTGATTAATTTTTTCATATATTTTTATGCTGGAAATTTTTAATTAAAAAATTATGTTTTAATGTGTATAATTGCGTAACAGATTAACATTATATATATAATATTATCATAAAATGCTGTATATCACTCTCGGAGTTTGTTTTAATGTTTTGTAAAATAGGTAATACGAATAACCACGGCTGGCAAAGATAGCATAAAAACAAAATTGTTTTAATTATTTCCCTTATTTGAACAAGTTCATTTATGAAAAATGTATTAAAAGAATTATGTAAAATATAGTTTTCAAAATTGACTAAAAATTACAATTACAAAATGTCAAGTAAAAACAGTTTAAAGCTCTTAACATTATTGCTAAGATTCGCCTATACAGCCTTTATTATTATTTTTTTATTTTAATTTCTTTCGTCTTTGCTATTTTGATTCTCATATCTTTGGTTTTAGTACTGAATAATAATTTGATTAATTTGATTCCACTCTTGTTTTTTTCTGGTCTTGTTGTTAGGTTTTCTATATTATTTAATAGAACCTTTCACCACAATGATAGAGAAATAAATAAATACCAACTATTTACCGTCAAAGAATCTTTCACCAAAAATAAAAACATAATTAATCAAAAATTTTCATCTGAGCAAATATTAGTACAATTTTTGCAACATTTTTTTACTGGGTTCAAACGTCAATTATATTCTTACTTCAATAAAATTCAAGAATTTTATTTAATGTCTAACTATCATACCGGAGACATAGATGAATATCCGATAAAGTCTTTAAGCATTAACTATATAAAAAGCTCAGACCTTTCAATAGATTACTTAAACGATATCACCATTGAAGACGATAATAAAAAATTTTTAATTGAATCATTTAATTACTACTTGAAGAAAGACCAAATTAATTATAAAAGTTTGGATATAGATGACTTAAAGATTTCAAAACATTTAAACGAGATTATTGAGCTACAAAACCCACTATGTAGTAAGTTAAATGATTTGCAACGAAAAAATTTGGTTGATCTGTTCATTCATATCCAGCATTTTATCCAGCATTTTATTAAGAAATTCTTGAAAAAAAATAACCTTGATCATACTCTCCTGAAAATTATGAGAACGACTGCAAACAATCTTGGATTATTTTATATTCATCAAAGAAATGTAGTTATTGGTGATGAGACCTTTGAAAAAGTGATTAAAAAGAGAATTGATTTTTATGAAGCAAACAAAAACTGGATAATAATTTTCGTATTCTTTTTAAAATATAAGTTTTGAGTTTCAAAAATATTACAATATCTTCATTTTAAAAAAAAAACATTATCATTCTTACTGAAATATTTATTTGTCGTGAAATCAAATTGGCTAAATAATTGGCTTAATACTGCTTAATTTTGTTTATGTACTTATCTTCTACAATCTGCCTTTTAAACAATCAATAAGTAACTTTTTAAAGTCTACTTATTTAATAATGCTATACAGTAGCTCGTATTTTTTGCATCGTCCAAAAATTCATATTACTTCTTAATAGCGAGATATTTTATGGATAGTTTTTTAATTAAATTCATCTAAATCTATAGTTATTAACATCAAAATTTTGCCGGTAAATTTTTGGTATTAATAACTATCTCTTAAAGCGTTTTGCCGGCAAATTTGCCTGCAATTTTGAAAAATATTTAAATTTTTTTAAATAAAACAAGAAGTAATAATTTAAATTTTTTTTATTTTATATAATATATTATTTAAAATATATTTTACTAACTTTATTATAAAATTTTTTTAAAATTATTAAAAAACTTTTAATTAATTAAAGATCAAAGTTTGTGTAACTTTAGAGTTTGCTATTAAAATTTTTGTATATTTTTTAAAATTTTATATGTTTTTATCTATAAAAAAATTTTTTGCTATTAAGACAAGTCTTAATTTTTATTAGCAAATTATAAAAGGTGCAATAATGAAAGTTGTTATCCTTTGTATAAATTACAATATTGTATTAGGATCTATATTTTTAAAACTAATATTTAAAGAGTTCGTCAAGAAATTTTAAAATTATTTTTACAATTAAAAATTTTTTTAAAAATTTAATATTTTGGGCTTATAAACAACTACAATTTTTTTTCTTATAATTTAAATACAAATATAGCAAGAATATAATCTTTATTTTTAAATATTATTATATAAAATTTTATTTAAATATTTTAAATATTTAAAAAAGTAAATCAAAAACATATTTATAGTATAAATTGCAAGCAAATTTGCCTGCAATTGCTTACGCATTAAGAGATAGGTTTAGACGAATTTAATATATAAAAAAACTACCCATAAAATATCTCGCTATTAAGAAGTTATATAAATTCAAAAATTTTCTCGGGTGATGCAAACCATATGAGTGCCACCTTTCTTTAGTAATGTCATTCATATTGGATTTTGCTATGAAATGACTTTCAAAATGAGTCATTTTTTTATAGCATATTTATGATTTAGATAAAAATGCATCATTATCAAGAGCTCGAGATGGTATTTTATAAGTCACGAGATTTTTTGTTGGTCTGGAGTTTCAATATTTTTTTTGCTTTAAGCCATTATTTAAACCAATTTTATTTTATTAATTTATTACTCGATTAAATTATTTTTTGTCAATATTAAACATTTTATATTTGAGGAAATTTTTCTTCTTTATTTATTATAGCAATTTTATTCCAAAAGCTTTTTAATTACAAAAATAAAATTTTGTATTTATATTTATAATAAAAATATTAAATATTACAATTTCAATTTCTAATAGTCCTATGCATGCTAAGTAATAATTGGGATTTCCCACACTTACTTTTAACAACTCGTTATTCTTACTTTGATTTCCGAGAGCATAAGTTCCGCCAAAGCCCCAAGTATACAATTATTAAGATTAATTCGGACAGGATACTTTCTGCTTCCTTCTGTAATTTTCCTAGCAAAAATCTTTCTAATTCAGTTGATCAATATTTTTTCAGGAATCAACATTAAACTAATAGTCTTACATATAGATATTCTTTTTCCAAACTGATAAGAATCAATTTTTGTTGTAAGAAAAGTTAAAAATTAGATCTTTCATTTTATAGTATTTTTTATCTATTTCATTGTTGTCTTTGGTTATGTGGGATTCGATTTTTCCTATTTTAGCTTGTAAAATGTTGTTTAATTTGTTGTATTTAACTTGTTCGAGATTAAAAGTTGTATAGCCCTAATCAATTTATTAATACTATCACTACATATAATAAAAACGCTTTTAATTGTAAAAACCAGTTTTTATATTACAATACAGTACCCATACTGTATTACAAAAAAGTCACATGATTCTTATTATATTTTCTGAAGAGACTTGGTGCCAAATTTATTATATAAAAATAAATTCAGTAACTCTTAATTTTAAAATTCACTTTTAATTGCATTGCAGGTAATAATAGAGCAAAGTGTGTTCTAATACATGTACTAAGCTTTAAAATTCTGTGCGATAATGCATATCTGAAATCAGGTTGTAAAAAAAATTCATTTTTTGAATAAACAAGTCCTTTTTTATAATTCTCTTTTAATTGCACAGGCAATACCTTAAAGAATTATAAAGAACAAAGCATTTCTAATTCGTGTACTAAGCCTCGAAATGCTGCACGATAATGCATATTTGCAAAAATCAGGTCTTGAATAAACAGTTTTTTTTCTTATAATTATTATTATGAAAAGAATAGCAAAGAACAAAGTGTTTAATACATGTACTAAGCCTCAAAAACGCTGCATGATAATGCATCAGGTCTTGAGAAAATGTAAAAACCTCTTTTTTTGAATCATATAAACAAGTTTTCATACAATCTTTAAAGATTTTTTACAAGGATAAGTTATGCAGAAGTTGAATTTCAATAATTTATTTAAATCAGTTCAAATTATCTTTCAGCAGTGCAGAAATCTTATTCTTGATTAATAAATTGCAAAAATGGATTTCTTCAGTATAATTTGCTATCTCATAATATTTTTATATATTTGTTATTTATATTCTATTATCGATTTGTTTATTTATTTGTCCAAAACTGAATCCACTCAAGAAGTTTCCGAATTAGATGACTTAGCAAACCAAATTGACACAAAAAAAGAATCAAAAATTGAACTTTTTACAGTAAAGAATTTTAAGGATTTAAGAAAAAGAAAAGCTTTGGCAGATATAGAGAAGAATAGGCTCTTAGCGAAATTGAAAGCATTAGATTCATCATTAGCCGAAAACTGCTGTAAATTCTTTAACAATTGTGAAATTGAAATTATTGAATCAAATATAGAATATTTTGATTACTTTATTCATAGAAAATTAATTTCTATAATTCAAAAAAGTTCGATATAATCCTTAAATTTATCTTTTTTTTTTATTCGAATTGACAACAACTTTAAGAAAAAATTAATTTTTTTAAACTACATAATAAGATTCTAATGCTGAAGAAAATCAATCACGATGATTCAATATTCTGATATTGGTTATTAAAATAGGCGATGAAGGGGAATCTAATAAATCAATGAAGTATAACAATTCTCTCCAACTATATGCTAAACTGAAAGAAATAAATATATAACTCATGGAAAATATAAATGGAGAAAAGAATAATTTTGGCCGATTTGGAAATAGAAAGACTTTATATAAATTGACAATCGATCCATAATTAGCCGACATATGGCGCCAATTCTTTAAAAATAACAGTAACGTTGAAATTATTGAATCGAAAATTGAAAATCTCAATAATTTTATACATTAGCAGTTAATTCCAGAATTCATAATTCAATGTGGCTTCTAGAATGTTTTTAATTTTATCAAATTAAATATAGAATAGATAATACCTCCGGCAAAGTTTTCAGGGATAAAGAATTATCTGTATCATGTAATCTCATAATGTATTAATCCTTGCTGCCACAACAAAATTGTCCTGCAGATTCTCGGTTTTGATTGGCTAAGGACGGACCTGTTTCTTTGAAAATTTCTATTTTTGGGATGAAAAACTTAAAAAGTTAATTCCGGCCAGAAATTAGTAAATAATTATGTAATGCGGCCAAAAGTTTGTAGATCTACAGCCGTTAGCCAATCAAAACCGAGAATCTGATGACAATTTTGTTGCGGCAGCAGAGTTAATACATTACGTAATTATATGATGCGGATAATTCTTTGTCCCTGAAAACTTTGCTGGAGATGTTACTAATTTAACACGATTTAATCCATTATATATATATATTACAAATTTTAGTTTCTTTAATATAAAATTTTTTTTCACCTGCTACAATTTTGTGTTTATTCACTAAGGAAATTAATAAAATAAAATACTGCCTTTAAGAATTTTAACCTCTCACGAGTTTATTGTAAATTTACACGTCTCAATAAAAAAACCAACAATAAAAAAATATCTTAACCCAAAATATGGTTTATCAATCACAGACCTAAAATATCTGAACCCAAAACGCGACTCTTTAATTCCAAATATTCTTAGAAATAAAAAAGGTAGAGAATTCCTTAGGTTAGCATGGCAAATGAAAAAATAAATACTACAAAATTTTTTTTCCAACGTTAAATTTGCATATCACAGAGATATTCATATTATATTATTTTTGTATACACAAATTGTAAATTTTCGAAATCTTATCTGAACAGTACAGTAAAATATTTTCTTCCTTTAATTAAAGATTTTTAATCTTCGAGTTTATTAAAGATTTTTAATCTTCAAGTTTATTATAAATTTTAAAATTCAAGGTAGAGAATTCTAAAGGCCCCTTTAAAACCTAACATTATTTATACTATTTCCAAGATTTCTTAATGTGTTAAAAGTAGTGATGGGCCACGCGCGGGATGCGCAGATTTTTTTTGGATCCCGCAGGATTTTTAATGAGATTATTTGGCCTGCATTAGCATATCATCTGGCCTGCATTAACATATCATCTGGCCTGTATTAACATATCTTCCGGCCCGCATTAATATAAGTGGGCCATTTCTAAAAATATGCATGCAATTCTATGTAGAACTTTTTATTTTTTTATTATTCTACGAAATTATCTGAACTTGTGACTTTGGAATTTCGATGAAAAAAGATAAAATAGAGAATTGTTTCTTTCTGAATAAAGACAACTATTTTACAACCATTAATACTTTTTAGAGTTTGGAATTTGGGACTCCTTTATCAGAATTCTTTAGAAAAGTTAGTCATTGACAAGCATTAAAAATAAAAGTCGCGAAAATAATACAATTCATTAAAAACTCAGTTCATTCTCCGACGGCATCT